CAGCTTTATAATATTAGTACAGATAATATATATGTGATATAGTTAGAATTGCGTGGCCAATTTATTATTTTCGTTTTATCGCTCTACGCCCACTCACGAATATCAGTTGTTTCTATGAAGATAATTTATAAAAAAAAGAAGAGTAGAGTAATATTTTTAACAATGCATAAAAAATATAATAAATCATAACAGAATACATTACCGTCTATTTGAGACACACTTTTGTTATTTACTCAAGTCTGTGGTCAAGTTGAGAATAGATTAATATTGTGTGTTTTTATATTATTTGTCTATAGTCTTAGTGAATGCTAAATTAATTATGGTCGAATTTTGACCCATGGGCGACCACTAATATATAATTTGAAGCCATAATGCGTAAAAGACCTGCATCACTGATGTCTAGAATTCGGGGGAGCTCAAACAGCATCCTAAAAACTGTTGCGAATATACCTGATTGTCCGCTCCAGAGGCACTGGATAACGTTGCATTGTGGACCCAGTGCTTCTGGACGTGGACACATATATATGAAATAATATATCTACGTATATGTATATTATAAGTTACTAACATAGTTGTGTAAGTTTTTTACTAACACAATATGGATGTAATCGAATTAAAATTAAAATAAATAATATAGACTTATATATATACATATATTAAATTAAGAACACAATCAATACCTACAAATTATCATATATTGTGACATAACTTTGACTCCACTATATTAAGTACATAATTGTCCCGATAAAAATTCTGATTACCCTAAGCTAGTATATTTTTTATTTATTTAACTTTAATGCACTAAAACAATGTGTACATATGGCGGACTTAACACGATGCGGCGTCACGATGGGCTAACTGACCTGACGTCATGCTCATCTTATCATCCTCCACTGGTACCCCGCCAACGTATACCGTTAGCGCAGGCGGGTGCTCCATTCCATTATCATCCATAGGTGCAGAGAAAGATTGAATATTATGATAAAGACTAAAATTTCTATTACTGAAAAGTCTACCTAAAAATTAATTGATTTAAAGTTCTTTTTGCAGTAAAGAGTGCGTAATCAAATTGCGAGAGGTAGTTCGGATACGCTCAGCAGTTAGCAACGAGCTATCCGCAGCCGTGGCCTTGAGACAGACGTTTGTATCTATACTTACATATGTATGATATGTATACGGATACCATACGACCGGTGAGGGGCGTCGACCCCTCTATTCGGGCCATGGGTGATCGCTCCGCATGGGAAACTACTGACCTAGTTAGGTAGGATATACGACCGTGGTGTTCTAGTGGTTAAACATACCACCTCACTTTCGATGGTCGCGGGTTCGTTTCTTCGCACATTTGTATTCTTCAATATGATTATATTATTATTGTACTAGCTACTCGCCCCGACTTCGCTCGGGTGTACATGTATTATACATATAAACCTTCCTCTAGAATAGCTCTGTCTATTAAATAAAACCGCTTCAAGATCCGTTGCGTAGTTTTAAAGATTTAAGCATACATAGGGACGGACAGGCAGCGACAGCGACTTTATTTTATACTATACTAGCTGTCCCGGCAGACGTTGTTTTGCCTTAAAATTCATCGCAAAAAACATTTGTATTCTAGGTATGTTCTATGTATATGTATTATGTATGCTGTATTAAAAAAAACCTAAATGAATGTCATTTCTTTAACATTATTATAATATTATATTAGTATATATTACTAGGGGATGAAAAATATAAAAATAAATTAGGCCGATTCTATCATTTAGACCTACTCAATACGCTCACAAAATTTCATGAGAATCAGTCAAGCCGTTTCGGAGGAGTATGGGAACGAAAACTGTGACACGAGAATTTTATATACATATAAGATAGTACTATATAATGAGAGTGTGTGTCTGTACGTATGTTTGTCCGTCTGTCCATGTTACTGTTACTGTCTTATTGAAAATTGATATGGACTGAGATAAAATATATCACTAGCATGTACATAGACCACATTTTATCACAAAATAGTCAATTCACACAGCGCCATCTAATCCCAAGCTAAGCAAAGCTTATGTTATGCGTACTAGACTACTTAATTACTTTTAGATAGAATACTTAATTTACATTACATTTTACATTTAAATTAGAATACTTAAAAACTTTTTTATAAATACACACATAGAAAACAATAAAATTATGGATATTTTAAAACATTATAATAATTATGTTTATAATAAGTAACAATAGCAATATATTGGAGTCGAAGTTTTAATTTTATCAACAATATTTCTTTATCAACTCATTATAAACACATATACGCTAAAAGATCAAAAGTCAACTACGTTTTAATCGTGTTTTTAAAACACTAGAGAGAGTCACATCGTTCTCTTTGGTGATATAAAATAATCCACAGATCGGAAGTAATAATAAATAATAATAATAAAAAAGAATAAACCAGCAAAAGCTGAGAGTTAGACGATGATAATAATAATAATTAACTCTGGACAATTAACATGGCGCCATCTAGTCCCAAGCTAAGCAGATCTTGTGTTATGGGTACTAGGCAACTGATATAAATATTTAGATATTTTTTTTGTTAGTTAGATAGTCGTAGAAAAGACTGGGGACAAAGGTATCCCTTTACTCCTGCTTCTAAAGTTATCACATACATAGGTAGTTCTAACAGTGTTTTTTACGTCTCTGAAGAGAATGACAGATCGTACTCTTTGGCGACATAAAATAGTCCCCAACCCACCAGATTGGAAGTGATAATATATAATAATAATTAACTCTGGGCAATTAACACAGCGCCATCTAGTCCCAAGCTAAGTAGAGCTTGTGTTATGGGTACTAGGCAACTGATATAAATACTTAGATTTTATTTTTTGTTAGAGATAGCTTTAGAAAAAGCTGAGAAAGAAAAGATTACAAACTACCGATTAGCATTAATTCAATTAAATAATCAAACAAACTACTGAAGAGAACATCTCCTCGTTTTCTACAGTAATATCAAATATCTCACAACGCACTAGATTGGAAATAATAACCTTAGAAGCAAATTGAAACGATTGTTAGTAATGTGAACTAATTACTCAATCGCAATATATGTCAGATTGACCTCAACGCGGTTCCCCCTGGAAACCATCATATTACTTCAGATATAGCTACATCAAAATAATACATCTTATTTATATTACTAGATGTTCCCGCGACTTCGCCCGCGTGGAATTTAACAAAAAGGTTAATTAGAGAATTTTCCCGAAAAAAGAAGTGGCCTAAGTTACTTCTTATTACATCAGCTGTCTGCCAAAAAAAGTTCCGTCAAAATCTGTCCAGCCATTTCTGAGATTAGCGGGAACAAACAGACAGACAGTCAAAAATTGTAAAAAATGTTAATTTGTATGTACCGTATTTACATTCATATGCATCTAGTAAACAACGGTTATTTCAATATTACAAACAGACACTTGTATTTATATGTGTAGATGAACGCGAAAGTTTGTAAGTATGGACGGATGTTTGTTACTCTTTCACGGCAAAACTACTGAACGGATTTTGATGATACCTTACACTAATATAGCTTACACATCAGAATAACACATAGGCTATAATTTAAAAAGATATGTAAATTGGGCAAAATATGATAAGTATGGTGCAGAGGAAGTTGCGCCGGTCAGGCTAGTAGGCTATAAATTTCATGAAAACGCAGACACAGTACATAATATATCTGTTCATTACACGGCACTCTGATCAACCAGCAGCGCGACCAGCGGGGTCCGTCCGGAGGACACCGACAATACCCGAACGGAGCCGACCGCCACTTGTGCATAGTACGGCGGCAAAGTTACACCTTATTTTATAATCTTGTAAAGAATCAGCAATTAAACTATTTATCATATCAACATTTGTATTATTGGAGCTGCTGAAGCTCCAACATATCTACATATTAAAATAATTTAAATAGACAAATCCGCAGGTAGTAAATAGACTCATGAAAGTATGCTAAATACGTTTCAACTTGAGACAGATAAGATTGCATATCGTATTGATTTATGACATGCATCATAATGTTTGATACAGCATATTCAAATCCGCTAATTTCATTTTTTGCTACACTAGGTAACATGTCCGTCAATATTATATGTACATAGATAAGATACTAGAAAAATTATGAATGTAAAATTATTGAATGAATGAATGAAACTCTTTATTTGTTCCTCTCACAGAAAATACATATAAAGATACACAATTATAAACAAGACAAAGAGGTAACAACGGACAGTCTTGTTGCTAAAAATCTGTTACATTATTGTGTTATGCTTATGATTATTGTGGAAGAGACAGAGGAATGAAGAGAATGGTAAGGTAAGAAAAAGGATAGAATGTCCTCTTCTAGTAATGATGGTATATTGCTATCAAAGGGCTTACTAAAGTCAGGTCCAATTGATGAAATGGCCACGATGAGCTAACTGGCCTGACTGTATACTCATTCTATCATCCTTCACTGGTGTAGTATCATAGTCACTAGCGAATATCGTTAGGGCAGGCCAGATAGATAGATATTGCACAATTCCAACATAATTCATACGCAAATAATACTAGAAAGAAAGGGTCATATATGAGTGCCCTGAGGGACGCCTGTACTTATCACTCTTTCTTATATATTATTATACTTCGATACACTGTTAATTACGTGCTTTCCACTTCTTATATTTTTATAGCATAGGTAACAATCTTGCGAATTACTTGAGGGTAAGTGAATTGCTGCCCTTTTAAGATGGGGGTGGGTAGTACAAGGAATTAAGAAAGGGATAGTGATTGCAATGCCCATAAACAACGAAATTAATTAATTTTTTCTTCGGTAAATTCTTAAACAGCAGTTAGGTGGAATAACGACTTACGTAGGGTTGCGGGTAATGATTGGACGAGAAGGGCTGAAGATCAAGCCTAGTAGGGTGCCTTGGAAAAGGACTATGTCGGATGATAGAAAAGGATAATGATGAAATTATTAGACTCACCGATGACGACTAGATCCACATCACTAGTGGGGAGGTAGAGACCAGTGCGGAAGGAGCCGAAGACCTCGACGCGGGCCTGTGGCCATAGCGCGAGAATCACGTTGCGGATACGGGAGACCACTGTAGACCTCATCAGGTGTTCTGTCTCTGTCGGCGTCATGTACGCGTGGAAGTGTTCGATCTCCTCGTGCAGCCTGGTAAAACATTTATTACATTAATTTTCTTTTTCTATTTCATGATTATATGCTAGTTGTGGCCGCGGTTTCACCCGTTGTAAATTTCAATACATACCATATTGATATTCATATGCATGTAGTAAAAAACGGTTATTTCAATATTAAAAACAGACACTTCAATTTTATTTATATGTATAGATTAAGTGAAAGATTGTACCGACGATAATATTATTTCTGAGACTGATTCATAATGTGCAGGTCTAGTTAGTAAATTCCAAATGTAATTCCTTGTTAATTTAGTTTCAGCTACACGTCACGTCTATAAATGCTTATAGCCCAAGAGCCCACGACGGCCAGATATACGTCTTATTAGTAAATGTAAAAGTTTTTCTATGTGTGTCCTCAACACAGGTAAGAACAATGCCCAAACATGAAACCTAGATCGTGGTACCTTTGGCAGGTGAAAAATTTCATATCAAATTCGTTATTTTAAGAAACTCCATTTTTCATATATTGTTCGTAGGATGCTAGAACCAACAAAACTGTCTGGCAATTCAGGAAACACAGTTTAATAGTTCTTTGAATAATATATATAAATTTCAGCTTTGTTACCTGTTGCCTGCCAAAGGAACCACAATCTAGGTTTCATGTGTGGGGATCGTTCTTACCTGTATTGGGGACACGTACAAGAACTTTCACCTTTACGACGTATGTCTGGCCGTCGTGGGCTCTTGCTCTATTAGTATATAATTAAATTACACATTTTGACCTTGTTTCTATTGATTCATCAAAATCTTTGCAATTATCAACTCTTGGAATGATCTCATTTGTCAGAGAATTATCTTCATTCCTTAAAAATCTCACTCAAATTTATTCACTGTTGAACAGCACTGCCTCCATGGTCTAGCGGTTTAACGCACCGCTTTACTTCCGATAGTCGCGGCTTCGATTCCTACCACGATCAAAACATTTGTATTCAGGAGTATGATTGTTTGTATCGGTCTGGGTGTTTTCTATGTATAATATATATGTATTCACAAAATAAAAATATATCTATGTACTTGTATCAGCTGTCTAGTACCCATAACACAAACTTTAGCTAGCTTAACTTGGGTCTAGATGGCGCTGTGTGAATTGTCCTGAGATTATTATTATTATTATATCTATAACTCTACCAGTGTTTGTTATACATATATTTTGTTATTGTTTGTTAAGAAAGTATTAAAAACAATTATAGAACGTTTATAATTATAATGGAATGGGATTTTCATTTAATGTTAGACATAGACACCTACATAAATACTGCCTACATAAAAAGTATATACAATGTATATACTTTTTTTTAAAAGCCAGTTTGGCTTTTAAAAAGAAGTAATTCAATTGAGTTTCTTGCCAATTCTTCTCAATTGAATCTATATACCGAACTGGACTTTAGGAAAAAAAATATATAATGTAAAAACTTAACGTTCATAAGCGGCTAAAGTGTCCTACATGAATAAATGATTTTTGAATTTTGAATTTTTTGAAAAATAAAAGTAATATCAAATTATACAAATTCATATAGCGTTCAATTACTAACTTAGAATTGTACTTCAATAGTACAATACTGTAATATAAACATACGCTCTTTTCTTTATTAGTACAGCTGGCCGATGAGGCAAATAGTCTATACATATAAATAAAATTGGCGTGTCTGTTTGTAATATTGAAATAACCATTTTTTACTACATGCATATGAATATAAATATGGTACATACACCAAGATAACTTTTCGTCTTTCTGTTTGTTCCGGCTAATCTCCGAAACGGCTGGACCGATTTTGACGGGACTTTTATTGGCAGATAGCTGACGTAACAAGGAGTAACTTAGGCTACTTTCATTTTAGAAAAATTCTCAAACTTTTTGTTAAATTCCACCCGGACGAAGTCGCGGGTACCTATACTAGCTGTATAGGTAATAAAAATAATGCAGATACAAACTGATTTACATACGACAACATTACGCACGTAAGGTGTTTACCTTCAGCCCCTTAATAAAATGCCAATGCAACAGTAGAATTCCACTGTCGACCGTCCGGCGTCCAAGCCTTTCACTCGCTACCTTCGATCGACAATACTAATAGATGTCCGATAGCGTTTCAGTGTGTAACGCCTCACTTGCCGTGTGAGTTCTTACTTTTAATTAGTATTTATTTAGACAATCGGGCGATTGGTACAACCACCAAAAGCTAGGGTTTTAATTAATACTAGCTGTTCCCGCGACTTTGTCCGCGTGGAATTTAACAAATTTTGAGAATTTTTCTAAAATAAAAGTAGCCTAATTTACTCCTTATTACATCAGCTACCTGACAAAAAAAAGTCCCGTCAAAATTTAGATCGATTTTCTTTTGAATAAACTAATAAGACTTGATCTTCCAATTCCTGACACGTTATCTAGACCCTCTAAGATAGATCCCCCGTCCAATTCAAATGGGCATCGAAATTACGACGGCCTGCGACGAGGGTCGAACTCCTAGCGGTGCCCTCAGACTAAAGTCGTATCCGCCCGGGAGTTGGGCATTAGCCGCTCCATAAGTCCTTCCGCGGGTTTGGAGTGCCATCTGCACTCCCCTATCGTCCGGTGAAGCTGTAAAGGCCTGCCAACATTAGAGTAGTCCGAACAAAAACGTTATCTAGTTGGCATTGTCGATCGAAACCGGGTACAGGAAATGCCAAGTAGAACCTGTTTAATTACATTACAAATAGAAAGAAGTAAATTGTATGAAATGTAGTAAATGCGTTAAACCGGTTTTAATAAATACCTCTATGTTATATGCAATTTTAAACACATGGCCAACTTAGGCCTGTTCTTAACAAAGATTTACAGATTTTGAAGAAGAAACGCCACTACACATCCTATGCAGCTGGAGCCCACTAATACATTTACGAGGTTTTGGGGGAAAGGGAATTGTTAGGAATGTGACTTTGATTTTAACAATGTACTATGTCGAAGAAGATTCCCCCTGAAACCATCGTGATAAATTCACGATGGGCTACACTACACCTCATACTCATCTTATCATCCTTCACTGGTGCCCCGCCAGCGTAAACTGTTAGAGCAGGCGGGTGCAAAATTTCATTATCATCCCAAAATTAAAAAAAAAATTCATATACGAGGAGGGAAAGGAGTTTATTAATAACGTGAACCGATGATCTCATTGCTAGCAATATACCATGTCAGGTTGACCTCCACGCAGTTCCCCCTGGAAACCATCGTGATAAATTCCTAGTGAATTTGTCACGATGGGCTAACTGACCTGATCTCATGTCCACCTTATCATCGTCCACTGGTGCCCCGCCATCGTAAACCGTTAGCGCAGGCGGACGCCCATTATTCCTTTATCATCCATAAAAAAATGCATATGCGAAATATCTTCTTTGGAATGTATACACTATAAACTGAGGATATAAAACTATCGCTTCTAAGAATACGCTTCAATTCTTGTCCTGACGGGTCACCGTGTTTACTGGTTACCGTGGTTACCGTCGGGTACCTAACTTTGAAAAAGGGCGAGCACAATAGATCTATGCAGGTCTAAAACACCGCGTAACAACCCAATCCCCGCAATAAAAAAAATATATATATAAGCAAATTTCAGACATAAGGGCCAAGCTGAATATAATTGTTACCCCAAATAGACAAAATATTAGTTCAGTCCAATCAATTGACAGCTGACAATGTTTCAGGCCTCCATAGGCTACGGTAACCATTTACCATCATCAGATGGGCCGTATTCTTGTTTTGCACAATTTACACTCAGCCCGAGGGGGCAGGGAAGTGAGCACGGAAGTGAGCAGCGAGGGAGTGTAAACACGAGTAGAAACACTTCCCATGCCATTGGCTCTGTCACTCGCGCTGCCCGGCGCTCCCTCGATTGTCGGTTTTTCTTGCGCGAGTCAAAGGACTGGCAATGCGAGAGGCAGCGTGTTTTAACATTCAGCCCTCTCGCTCAGTTGTCGCCCGGCAATATTTCCAGCAGCGCGAGTGGCAGGAGAAGCGGCTGAATGTAAACGTAGCATTTGCCATCATAGTAGTATAAAAAAAAGGTTCAGCAATCTAGCGGCTTAGCACATCGCCTTACTTCCGAAGATCGCAATTCGATTCCTCGCACAATTTTTAAATTCATCTTTGGGAGAATAGAGGGACCACCAGCATATGCTATTGCAAAAGCAAAAAGTCTAATCAGTGTTCGTAACCTGAACAGACCAGTCCCCAAGCAACCCCCAACAAGCAGCATCCGTTCACGAGTATGACGGATGAGATGATAATCAATTTGTATAAATTGTTTTGAACTACATCATTTGATCTAATTGCAATGTGTATCAATTACAAATTCAATCGGCAAACTTCGGTAACCGCCGTACCGTAAAATCACAAATAGAGCGTTATTGTTTACCGTTCTAAGAATATCCGGTTTTTACTACATTGTTATTTAGATATTTATTTTTATACGCTGTGGAATAACAATTCGTTTCAAAAGTACCACAGAGTATTTCATTGTTATTATTATTTTTATCTGATAGCATAATAAAAAGAAACCAAAAACCGTATGTTTTACGTACGATTTTTGTTTTTTTTTATTATAATTATAAATACTTTTCCATATTAAAAAAATATTTACAAGATATTTGACGGAAAATATTTATAGTGGCCTCGGTGGTCTAGCGGTTTGGCACGCCGCTTCACTTCCGATGGTAGCGCTTTCGATTGCTCGCACGATGTAAACATTTGTATTCATGAGTATAATTGTTTGTATATGTCTGGGTGTTTTCTATGTATATTATGTATGTATTTACAAAAAAAAGTATTACAGTAGTTTAGTACCCATAACACAAGGTCTGCTTACCACGAGACTAGATGGCGCTGTGTTAATTATCCAGAGTTAATTATTTATTATTTAAAAAAAAATCATTACACTGTTTATTAGATTGACGTTACTAATGGCCTCAATCTCATCATTAAAAAACCCGTGCGAAGCC